GCAGCGTGGGGCAAATGGAAGTCCGTCACGGGCGTCCTCTGTGACAAGAAGATGCCGATGCGCCTGAAGGTGAAAATTTATAACTCTGTGGTGCGCCCCGTGGCCATATATGGCGCAGAGTGCTGGCCGGCGACCAAAGAAGTCGAAAGCAGACTCCAGGTAATGGAGATGCGAATGCTCCGATGGTCGGTAGGCCTCACCCTACTCGATCGCATCAGGAACGAAGAAGTGCGTAGACGGTTCAACGTCGTGCCCATCTCCACGGTCATGAGGCAGTCCCGGCTACGATGGTTCGGCCACGTGATCCGCACCAAGGAAGAATCTATCATCAAATCTGCAATGAAGGTGACTGTCGGAGGAGCAAGACCGCGTGGTAGACCTAAGCAATGCTGGATGGACACGATCAAGGCCAATCTAGAGATCGCGAAGGCAGACCCGACATACGTAGTAGACAGAGAGGTGTGGAAGCAGTACTTAAGGACATTAGTGGACCTCGCCCGAGCGCGAGACAAACGCTGAAGAAAAAGAAGAAGAAGAAGAAGAATCTGTTGTTGTTGTTTTTTTGTTCAGGTTATACATTCATGTCATTTTACAGTGGTACATTAGTACTCAACATTAATTGGTTCAAGATAGAATGACAACCAAAAATGAAGGTCTAGGACAACTTGGCACGGCCATCTCAGTGCAGCCAACTCACTGTAGGACATGTTGCCTTGGCCAATTTGTTACATGACAATTCACCACAGGACAAGAATTACATTTATATCAAAGAAATTGTGAAATTGAGTCATTAAAAGAAAGGATGCAAAAGGAAGGAGAAAATGAAATGTGAATGACAAAAATAAATCACTTTTAATATTATTTAAATTGAATTGCTGAATTGTCAAAGAATGAGTTGTCCCACAATGAGTATGGCATGGCAAGTTAACACACCATGAATTTGCCATAGTGAGTTGGCCACACTCACTTGACCATGGCAAGTTGGGTACAGAGAGTTGGCTGCACCAAATTCTCCCATTCTATAAAAACCATGAGTACCAAACAATTTTCCCCATAATGAATAATGTAGTGAGTCACAATGCAGATAAAACAGACTAATTCCAGATTGTGTGTTGAGTACCTAACAAACAATGAGTACTGGGACAAACTCTTCCTGTCAAAATGACAAATTCAAAGAGTTTCCACGCAGTTGAGTACCAAAGTATCACAATATTTGTAAGTGGAACAAGTCAATGAAAAAGTTCATTGAAAATTATATGATTCTAAGCATGGCATTAATTCTCTGTCTCATGAATCTATATTGACTTGTTTTTTAGACATTCTAACTTTCAGTGCGAAAAAAAATTGTGAATTTTTTTTTGCTTGTCTTATAAAGAATCTTTAGGATTCAGTTTAGTCACTGTTGCTATTTTATTTTTCCTGATTACAACGTGTCTCTCTCCCCCCCCCCCCCCAATTTCAGATATGGTAGCTTGTGTCCAATGTCCAGAAGATCAGTATGCAAATCAAGAAAAAAATGGATGTCTCCTGAAAAGGATAAACTTTCTGTCTTATGAAGAACCTTTAGGGTATAATTTAGCTTGTCTTGCTGCTTTTTCCTCCCTCACCACAACATGGATGCTGGGAAATTTTATTAAGCACAAAGACAGTCCAATTGTCAAAGCCAACAACCGGGATCTCACCTACATTCTCCTCATCTCTCTTCTGTTCTGCTTCCTCTGTCCTTTGCTCTTTATTGGACAACCTGGGAGAATCACCTGTCTCGTCAGACAGCCTGCATTTGGCCTCACTTTCTCACTGTCCATCTCTTGTGTGTTGGCCAAAACCATCCTTGTTTCTCTTGCCTTCAAGGCCACCAAGCCAGGATCTCGGATGAGGACATGGGTGGGGAAAAGACTGGCTGTTTCTATTGTCCTTCTCTGCTCTCTACTCCAAGCAAGCATCTGTATTGTTTGGTTATCTACCTCTCCCCCATTCCCAGAATTAGACATGCGTTCAACAACTGAAGAAATGGTTCTACAATGCAATGAAGGGTCAGTTGTTATGTTTTACTGTGTCCTGAGCTATATGGCCCTCCTTTCACTTGCCAGCTTCATTGTGGCTTTCCAGGCTCGTAAACTGCCTGACAGTTTTAATGAAGCCAAGTTCATCACCTTCAGCATGTTGGCTTTCTGCAGTGTGTGGACCTCCTTTGTACCGACATACCTGAGCACCAGAGGAAAAGCCATGGTGGCTGTGGAGATCTTCTCTATCTTGTGCTCTAGTGGTGTGCTCCTGGGATGCATCTTTTTTCCTAAATGTTACATTATGGTTTTGAGGCCTGATTTAAATAACAGGGAACAACTGATAAGATTTGTTTAAAAACTTTTTTCTTTTTTTCTTTTTTATTATGTTTTTAAGTTGAGAGGAGAAACATCAAAATTCAAAAGATATTTAATTTATTCCAATAGCTGTAATTTTACCATTCTGATTTACTTGGAAATCTGGATTTTGGGAAATCTTTTTCCCTGTCCCAAGAACTTCCAAAGCAGGCTCATAGAACTTAATGAGAGAATATGTTTTGAAGAAAACTAGAGACCAGCTAATCTCAAGTCAATCAATGAAAGTTTTCTAACCATCCATATAAATTGTCTGAAATGACACAATTACATTTAAAGAAGTATCAAATTTAAATGTAAGTACAGAGGTAACTCTAAAGACATGAAGGCCAAACCTATTAACTATTTTCTTTTTTTAAAAGTAAACATCTAAGAACTGCAGTGGGAACTCCAGTGTGAATAAGATCATGTAAAGACAATAAATGCATTCCTTTTACAACCAAGGAAGATGGATAAGAATGCCATTTCCCCTTTTCTGCTCTGAGTTTGTTCTTTTCACTTATTATGTTGCAGTTATTAGTTACTCTAAGAAAACACACAGTTTAATAATAAACTAAATAAAAATATTTATCACCCTGAATAATTATTAAAAGATGTTACCATATCTAGTGTAATTTTGCAGTGTGCTTTGTGAGTCAGGACAAGATATGAAACCAAGTCATATATGCAGATTTATTATGAAATTCATCCTTTCTTCAAGAGAGATGTTCCTTAGTTCCTCGTATTTCTGTTCACAGGACTACATGTTCTCCATAATTTCCTTTAATTAGTAGTTCTCTGTAGTCTCTTTTAATATACAATTGAATAACAATTCATCAGATCCAATAGTCCCATACTTCATATGGAAACTGTGAAGCATTACACAGATTTATTATAGGTAAAAACTTACAGAATGGGAATCATTACCTATAAAATAAGAGAAGATCAGATTTCACTTTATCTCCGATAGAATCACTCCCACACTATGATTATATTCTGTAGTGTAGCAGTTTGTACCTTAAACCCATGACTGAAATTGTTTCCACATCATGTCTTTCCACATTACACCAGAAGTTCTGAGTACTTCATCACTGGAGGCTGTTGAGAACAAACTGGACAGATATAGTTTCAGATCTCCTGCTTGAGCAGAGGACTGGATTAGAAGATATCCAAAGTCCCTTCCAACATTATTATTCTGTATTTCTTTTTGCCACTTCTACTGTAAATTAAAAAAAAAAACACTTTGAAATTTAGAAAAACCAAAAGAGGCAAGAATTTTAAATTCATTCAGTTTATATTCCATCCAAGTAGGCTTTTAAATTTTATTTATATTGTTTTGTGATTTTGGAAATGATCTAAAGGTTGAGGCTGAAGAACTAATACATTCCCCAAATTTACACTGTTTACAAGTAACCAAATTAAAAGTTCTGGTTTTCAAATTCGATTTTTTTTTTATAAAATACAAAGGAAAATAGAAACAAACAAGAAGTAAATAAAACAAAACTGAAAAAGAAACAAAAATATGTATTCCATATATGAGCCAATAGTAATACAGTTATAAAAACTTTACATGAATATTCTGCAGTGTATTGAAAATTGGGGAAATTTGCACAAACTTAGTTTTTTCAGCTTATCTGAAATGGAAAATTTATTTTTTAAAAATTAATGTCTTAATTACCATGCAATTCATTTCATGGTATATATTCACATAAGTATGTGAATTTAGTACTTATGAATATTAAAAATTCTATCACAGGGGAACACAGTAAAATGGGATCTCAATGGATAAGACAACTGTAAACACTCGTAAGTTGTTGCTCTTTCAAAGAGAAAAACCTTTGAGCTTGGATTGTATGACTGGTTCAAATGGCCATGGATGAAGCAGATTATCTGGATCTTTTTCACTCAAGATTCTGGCCCAGATATGGGATGGAAACTATATTGGTTGCACTTTTGGATTATATCTGGCATTGGTGGAATGGCGGTTGGGCACCCCTCTTGCCCTATTTGACCTCTTGGTGGTATTCAGTACCATTGATCATTATGTCTTTCTGGATCAGCTCAGAGAATTGATGGTGGGTGACATGGGGTTTGCAGGTTTTCCTCCTTTCTTCAGTGTCAATTATAGTAGATAGAGATAACGGAATAGATATCCTTTCCAAATGGAGGGATGTTCAGCAGATCTCCCATGGATATACAATGAGATTCTTAAAAGTAAGTAACAGGTAAGAGTATCAGGCCTTAATAAAATCACACATAGAATACTGCATCCAATTTTGGTCACCACACTATCAAAAAGATGTTGAGACTCTAGAAAAAGTACAGAGAAGGACAAACAAGATGATTAGGGGACTGGAGGCTAAAACATGTGAAATACAGTTGCAGGAACTGGGCATGGCTGGTCTAGTGAAGAGAAGGACCAGGGGAGACATAATAGCAGTCTTACAATATTTGAGGGGCTGCCACAGAGAGGAAGGGCTCAAGTTATTTTCCAAGGCACCTGTAAAGAGTGCATCCTGTCAATCCCAGGGATATCGCAAAGTCCCTGGTAGATCCAGGAGAATAGGTTGAAAGAATAGGCCAGACAAGGAATAATGGATGGAAACTGATCAAGGAGAGATTTAACCTGGAAATAAGGAGAAATTTTCTGACAGTGAGAACAACCAACCAATGGAATTGCTTGCATTCGGAAGTTGTGGGAGCATCATCACTTGAGACTTTCAAGAAGAGACTGGACTGTCATTTGTCAGAAATGGTGTAGAGTGTCCTGCTTGGGTAGAGGGTAGAAATACCATGAAAAGATTAGCCTCTAAGGCATTAGAAGATGAGTA